CTCTATGTTTTGTAATTTCAAGATATTGGTGATAAACACCTCATAACTGAAGTTCTTTGGGGATTTTAAGGCAGGGGTGATAAAGTTGGAATTAATTTTAATGAAAACATAGTTGTGTGACATGAGAAGACCTACAAAGAAAGTTTTAATTTGGTGTTGATTATTTTCCTGTAGTCCTTTATTTGGTTTTAGTCCTCACTTTGGTTTTAATCAAGTCAGATGAAAGAGCTTGCATTAGTTACATCAGTTAAACTCATGTTTCCAACATGAAAATACTTTTCTGCGCTGAACACAGTGAACTTTCTTGATGTGTAGTAGAATGGTTCTTGGCAGTACTATTCACATGCACTTTGAACGATGTACTACTTATGGACGAGGAAGGTGTTTGCTCTCTGTTATGCATCGACCCTGTTAGAGGTCTAGTCACAAGGGACAGAACTGGATAGAGCCCATGAACTGTAGAGCTGTAATTAGCAGATCTAAGGTATTAATATAATATATCTGTCTTCTAGCCAGAGTGAAGTGTTGCGGCCTTATTCTACACTAGCTGGCCAAATCAATGTACTGCAGTAACTCTTAAGGTCTATAACCAAGGTCATGGAGGAGGTGGGGTGAAGGAGTGTGAGGTGCAAATGGAATATGGGGGACCATTTGGCTAAAATGGATGCTGTCATTAATTTCAGCTTACCAAAACTCTGTCTGTAGTAAACAGTGTTTGTGAAAGTTTTTTCTTTACTTCTTATGTTGTATATTCGGAGATGAATCTTATTGTAGGTGGTGCAGAATTCTACCAGGGCCATCTGTTCTGATTAGAGTACAACTACTTATTGAATCACCACATACTGAATCAGATCTGATTGGGGGAAGAGGGATTCATAAAGTGTTAGGCTACTCAAACGGGAATAATAACAAATTTGAATTCCCAAAGGGTGACTTTTTCTCTAATTAGACAGATCAATCATATTTCCCTGGAGTGAAATATTGCCTCTTTAATGTCATCATGGATCTCTCCTTACTTGACTCTTAATCTGCAGTCTTGTTCATTAGGCTTTGATAGGGGGTTTTTGTTTGTTTTTTCTCATCAACCAAGTTTTGGAGTATTCATCACACTGAGGAGCCAAACTGGTATCAACACGTCTAGTCTTGTACTTACGGTACCCACTGTTCATCCTTGTCATTTTGGCTTCTTGCATTTGTGGGGGTTTTGCTACAGGCTCTGAGGAAGGATCTTTGGCTCCTACCTTTCTGCTGAGAAGCCCTGTCCGACTCCCTCTGGGACATGGTCATCTTTTCCTTCTCTGCCCAGCAATATTTGGAAAAAGGTGATAGGCCCCTAGACCATGGGACTTGGGAGAGGCAAAGCATGGGAGAATTAAGTCGTTTTGCATTGTCCCAGCACTAGCACCACTGGGTTTGTTGGGGCTGGAAGTGTGCCTCTCTTACCCTGCAAATACACTGCCCATCCCCCTCTATTCCACTCCCCCTCTTTAACAGAACTATCTTCAAGGCTTGACAACAAAAATTCTGAGTATGTTGAATAGATTAATTACTTAAATACTTTAATGATTTATTTTCTTTGTATGCAGGTGAATGCTGAAAAACTATGTGCTAATTCATTTAACCTTTTCATTTTGTTCTTCTGTAATACCTGGTAGTATATATCCACGAAGATCTGCAATGACCCTGTGGGGTTTTGGAGTAAGAATCCCATTTCTCCCCTTTGGCTGCTTAATTTCATGAGACTGCTGTAGGGAAATACTAGAACTTGGAAGCACATTAATGTTTTGAATGTTTCAGGAGTCTGTTTTCTTAATATTACTACACTGATTCCTGAAAGTAGTTAAGCACTTTCATACTGTTAATTCAGTACTTAAAAATCTCTGTTCTGCTTAATATCTTGTCTAACTTTGCCTTGCAATTTCAGCATTAACAGGTAATAGGCTAATATCCAAATCCAAAAAAGTTACACAACTGTGGTGGTGAAACTTTTGTAACTGGGGCTTCTTGATATACAGAGCAACAGAATGTCAAAAAACAATGATACAGGCCAAAGAAATATGTAAAATGCCGCATTGGGATGGTTTCTATGCTTAATAATTGTGTAACTTGTTCTGTATCTTGCACTTCAGGAAAACACAGATGCAAACTCTTGTTTAGACTCCACTTGATCCCAGTTATGGTTTTTGCCCAAAGTCAAAACACTTAATGAAAATACTGTGTTCATAACTACAGACATTAAATGGGTCTCAACTTTTCACCTTGTTTTATCACTTTAGTTCTGTGGATAGGTAGAAAAATAGGAAAAAAGTGAATACGGATGAGGATGCACTCTAAAAAATAACATAGCCTGTAAAAACAGTTGTCTGAACAAAGGAGGGTATAAGAATTGGTTGGGCAAGTAGGAGCTGAAACCTCTGCTCTAATGCTAGAATCCCTCTATGCTGAAGTGAAATTACTGTAGCAATTTATGTGGTAGTTAGAAGCAAAAGCTATACGGGGAGCAGGGATTGTGAAATAGGAATTGTGACTCAGATACTAATGTCTGAAGAGTATGCACAATCTGGAAAAGATGGAAATAAAACCAAGTGATAAATAGCAAGGTGGTTTTTTTTTTTTTTTTTTTTTTAATAGAATTGCAATTACTTAAAACTCTGTAGAGGAGCTTTCTAAGAAAGGAGGAAATGGATGGGGAATCCTACTGTGGTAGAGTTGGTAGTGTCTTATTGCCAGCCTATTTGGACATTCACTGGTGGGGTGAGGGGGATAGGACACATTAGGAGGCTATTGGGTATTATTAGAAAGACTTAAGGATATCTTCTCCAGTCTTTTCTCTTAGAAGTGATGAGAAAGTGGCAGAACGCAGTTGTTGGAGCGTAGTTGATAGTATGCTTTTTTTAATAATCCAGATTGCCAGTTAAACAGCTGACTTTGTTTATTCTAGTTGATTTATCATTGTCCCTGTAGTTTGAATAGAAATATAAGTGAATTGTCCTGTAACATGTTCTGGATTCTAAAATGGGAAATGTTAATTAAAAGACAGCCAACTTGTGCATTTTGCTAAAAGATTTTTGCTAAGAAATTTAAACTCTAGAGCTTCTCTAAACACAGACCATAGAAAGAATAAGATCGATAGTGCAAAAAGAGCTGCATCTTGGAATATGAACTGGCATGTATAAAGTGAGAATTGTCCATGTTCAGCTGAGCTGGCATGGCTGGGAGGTAAAGCAGCCTGGTGGTGAGAATGAATGAAGATTAAATACACTCTACTATCTGTGTCATCTCAAGACTAACTTTTAGCCTCACTGAAAACTGAGATGATGATGACATCTATAGGGATGAAAGCCAAATGGTCAGTAGATCTTAGGGTAATTGAACTTCATTTTGCAATAAATGAACTGGAAGCAGATCGGAGTTGAATGCCCAATGGATGAGGTGTGTGTAATGGGAGACAGGGATTAAGAGGAGGTAATTTTCCACTGTGACTTGCAAAAGTATTGGCATACAAGATTACTGCCTCATTAGCAAGTTTCAACTGGTATCCTGTGACTGAAAGAAAGAGATACTGTAGGGAGCATGGATTATTTACTAAGGTGTGACTTCAGAGTTATCTTTTTAATAGAAAAAATACTTTGAAACAAATTATCAAGTATTATCGATATGGTGGGTGGTGAGTGGCGAGAACTGATTTCTCTTGGAAAGAAAATCAGATAAGGTAACCTTTCTTATCTCATTGTCACTAGTAACTTCCCCAATACCTGTAATGTGATATCATTCCTTATGCTTCCAGAGAAGGTGAAACTTGGTGAGAAAGAGGTTTGGTTAAGCAGAGGTAGGTACTGTCAAAAGAGCTACTAGAATCACTCTGATCTGCAGTCAATAGAGTTGAAAAAGTCCTTGTTTTCTCTAGTGAAGGAAAAATGAAAAAGGAGCTTGCATATTAAATATGTTGATGCTGAAGGCAGATATCATCCCAAGGTGATTGGGTTAAAATGGAAGGAGAACCAGGTGGCCTTAAAAGACTGGGTGATACAGAGCTGACATTGAGAATTTCTACTGGAGATGTGGATATTGGCCTTACAGGGTTTGTAGGAACCTGTACGTAAGAATGATGGAGAAGAGAGATATGGGTGTGCTTCTTAATTGCATGATGACTGAGACAGCAGGGAAGTGTGACCTTAAAGTAAACTGCATCATAGGATGGTTGGGGTGAGGTTTTTGTAGCAGATAACAAGAATTAATGCAAATGTACATGGTACTTTGGTATAATTTCCATATGCTTGCTGCCCGTGTTCCAAAACTGTCAGTTGAAACTGATGGGGCTTGCTGGTCTCTCTTTCATAAAACTCTTTCCACAACTGACCTAAGAATGGAATATCTGGCTCTGCAAAATAAAACCAAAGAAACAGTGAAGGCCCTATGCAAAGTACATCAGCAAGAGATACTGCTGTGGGAAGAGGGCGACAGAAAAGAAAAAAAAAAAAAAAAAAAAAAAGTGAACATTTGTCAGTAGACATTCTGGTAATTTAAAACTTTATGTTCTGAAACAGATTCTTGTTAAAAAAAAAATTACTTAGCTTTCACTGCATAAACTGTCTATACAGAATTTAGAATTTTCTACTTTTATTCTGTCAGCCAAGAAACTAGTGGCACTCTACTAAAGAAATAACTTGTGTAAATATGTAAATTAACAAATATTTGACATATCACTGTGTGTGCTATCTCATTTGTGGCTACTAAACAGACCTTTCACATCATCCCTTAGGTTCCTGATGTTATCAGCAGCATAAGACAAGTCTCCAAAGCAGCGCTGAAAGAAGATGCTAAACCAAGTAAGGATAGTGAAGATGCTTTCTATGACTCTCAAAAATTTGAGGTCTTGTACTGTGGAAAGGTGACGGTGGCTCACAAGAAAGCTCCCTCCACACTAATTGATGATTGCATTGAGAAATTCAGCCTTCATGAGCGCCAGCGCCTGAAACTATTAAACGAGCAGCGGAATAATGAGTCAAGTTTGGACTTACCCCTTTGGGAAGGAAATGTGCCAACTTCTCCATTGGATAGCCCATTTGAGGAGCTGGACAGCCCAAATAACACTGCAGGGCACGCTGCAATGTTTACAATCGGTAGCCAGACCAACTTGACCAACCTGGCCAGCACTCGTGGCTCCTTTCCAGAGCGAATTTTAGAGGACTCTAGCTTTGATGAGCAGCAAGAGTTTCGCTCCCGGTGCAGCAGTGTCACTGCTGTAATGCAAAGAAGGGTTCATGACACAAACCCGAAAATACAGCCACGCAGAAGGCATGCAAGTGCACCCAGTCACGTTCAGCCTTCCGATTCTGAGAAGAACAGGACAATGTTGTTCCAGGTGTGTACTAGGATGAGCAATTTCATGTTGGTTTTGCACTGTATCTTCCCCTGTGCAGTTTGAAGCTGAGACAAGTTTTTGCAAAATAAGTAGTGTGGACCCAGTATGGTTTCATGATTTGTCAGAAATATTTATATATCTGTTCACAAGCAATTGGAATGCAAGTAGCTGAACTTTCTTAAGGAAGTCACCTTGACTCATAAGCTTAGGTAAATCTTAAGAAAAACACATTACTTATGGAGTAATTACTTACTGGAGCGGAGTTTCTAGGGAAATAATTACTTTATATGCAGTTCTGGTTTGTCTGTATTAGTGAGATCTAGGACCTAGCTGAAAAAAGTGAGTGTTCTTTCAAAAAGAGAACTGATGAAGACTTCCACATGAACAAATCCTCTGTGCAATTAAAAAGAAGCTCACAACTTCACATAAGGCTTTCACAGCCTTTATGATAATTTGTATTAATGTTCAGCTCGCCTTTCCCAGATGAGTATGCAAACGTGTCTGCACTGAAGGCTTCTTCCTTCAGACCTCACAGTTATTTCTTCTCTTGTCTGAAGTACATTTGACATCTTCAGTGCTTGTATTGAGAAAACAAAAGGACACTTAAAGGAGGTGACCCATGAAAGGAAAGATCTTTGGACCTTAAAATAACATGGGGCTAAATGCCTGGGTTTTGTCTTTCCATATGCTTTAGAGATCATTCTTGCCTTTTATTCTTTTGGGGAAATGCTAACTGAAGTGAGAATGCATTGCCCTTTAGAAAGGCACAGCTATCACTAATAGTTAAAAGAATTTAGCTGAAAAACTCCATGAGGTCCATGGAATAAGTTCCAAACACTTGAGAAGCAGTTTGGGAACGCTGAAAAATAGCTTGCTGCAGAACCTGCACTTTTTCATCTGAAATTATTACAAAACCAAAAAGTATCACCTTAAGATCAACATAGTTTCTCTGCTGAACTATATGGTATAGGGTTTTTTTTTGTTTTTTTTATTTTTTTTTAAATCTTCACATTCTGATTTTATTGCAGCTTTTAGTTTAGTCACATTGTTTACTAAAGGTTTTAGTATTGTCTGTCAAACATTTGATCTTTGGACCAAAATAACTCAAAAAGAAAGGGGCTGAGGGATTCACCTATCTTCCTGTTGTTCAGCACCTGTTACTTGTGATACTTTCTGAGGTCTTACTTTATTACCTTTTATCATTCGC